TACAGATAGGTTTAAAGGCCCTCAGGTCACAGACTGACACTGCCCTAGACATTTATGGATTCAGTACAGAATTTTGATATGAGCAGGGGACCTGGAATAACAGAGTAACAAATAACCCTGTTATATTCTAGATATGTAATCATGGGCTATCCATTCTGAGCTTCAGACTATTTATTTACAAAATGTAGATAATACTACTAGTAAATCGCTCCTGTCCAGGGTTGTTGGAAGAATTAAATTACATAATATATGGAAAGTGCTTAATGCAATGTCTGAGACTAGCATGTACATGCGTTAATATTTACACTGCTAACATCTGCTATTTACATGGCAGTTGTACCACTGCAAGGTCAGACATGTAGTATACTATTTCAAGGTGTATTTCAGTAGAGTCATCACTATTGCTTATATAAATCACCATATAACCTAGGTGCTTAAAAACTCCCCACGTATTTATCTCAGCACCCAAAACATGAAAAAAAAAAAAAAACCCACTAGAAAATTAAAAAAGGACTAATAAAAACTGCCCCTTTTATTTCTTCAATGAAAATCAGAAGATGGGAATGGAGGTTAGTGAAACCAAAACAGCACTTTCCAGATAAGAAATATAATAATTGACAGTACAGAATAATGAACTGTAGGTAATACGGAACTCAATTTTCACAGCTAAGAGGAAAAATAAAGAACAAACAAATGCTTTCAGTATCCTTAGAAATTAAGGATTCCAACAGTTCCAACTGACTTAATGCTTCAAGCTTTTTATTCTAACTTTTCTGCAGCTTGACTTATTTACTATTTTGCATTTTTAAAAAGCAACTCCTAAATAACACAGGAAAAAAAGCAATTAAATAGGGTTAGATTTCGAAGTCAATTTGGTTACTTATGTTAGTAAAAATGTTCCATGAACAATGGAACAAAAATTTATTCAAATAACGTTTGCTATTATAATAGTCTTTTTTTTTTTTTTAACCAAAAATAAGGTATATAGTCCTGGAAGGGACCTGTGGTGATCACTGTTCCAGCTCACACTTCTCAAACTTTAACATACACCCAAAGTATCTTTGGATCTTGTGAAATGCTGATTTTGATCCAATCAGTCTGGGATAGGGCCAAAATTTTACATTTTGGGGGACTGTACATTGCAGAGCAAAGATCTAAATAGTGATGTGAGAACTGATGGAAGAACACATGAACAGACGACTTTATCAAATGCCTTTCTAATGATGGAATTCTGACTCTATCAAAGTTACTGTTTTCTGCTTGATTTATACCAAATAGTTTTTCCCATTTTACAGAATAAATTGTGTATGTACCTATATAAAGTGTATTAGTTTCTAAGCCACTACTTGATTTCACATCAGTAGGATAAAGTTAGTATTTCTAAGGTGACCTTATTTTGCAGGGTAAATTCAACTCCTCAATACTTACTAGTGTCTGATCTGACTATTATCTGGGATTCCTTTAACTGAATCATTTATTTTTCAAAATATCACTGAGTACCTACAACACGCTGAATGCTATGCTACAAACACAACACTGTAAGCAAAGAATTAATAAATCAGGCTCTAGGACAGTACCTTTTAAAACACTGTACATTTCATCCCTTCTGTTCCCAACTCCTCTCCAGGTGAGGGTGGCTATAGGTTCAAACAGTTTAAACAATGAGAAAAGAAGGAAGAAACTACAGAAATGTAAAGGACATACATACAATGCAATATTATTCAGCCATAAAAAGGACTGAAGAACCAATTTATGCTAAAACATGGATAAACCCTGAAAACACTATGCTATATCAAAGCATAACACAAAAACAAAGTGTAACACAAAAGGCCATATATTTAATGATTCTATTTGTCTCAAATGTGCATAACAGGTAAGTCAAATCCACAGAGACAGAAAGCACATTAGTGGTTGTCAGAGGAACAACTGCTAATGGGTATAGGGCTTCTTTCTTGAGGTGACAGAAAGGTTCTGGCATTAGTGGTAATGACTGCAGAACACTGAATACACTAAAACCCACTGAATTTTACACCTTAAAATGATTTAAACAGTTAATTTTATGGTATGTAAATTTTTATCTTAAAAAAAACCCCACACAACCCTTGAGAGACTGAAAAAAGGTTGAATATCATACTAAGACTATGGAAACTGTGATGTTGGTCTTCCTAGGGTCTATTAAGCTAACACCAGACTTTTTCATTTGAGAAGGGGATTCTCCTCTCAACTGAGCTAGAGCTCACATTCGAAAATAAAGATTCATCTGTTAATTGATTACAGTGTTTCAAATGCATTATCCTAAAATCAAATTAATTTGTTTTCTTTATGTTTACCAAATAACTGCTTATATAAACTTTTACCTAATTTTATGGCAGTGCTATCTGTGCCTGAGAGTCTGAAGTCAAAGAACTCAAACCATTGGTTTCAGCCCTGAGCCTGGTGAACAGGTTTTTACCCAATAGGGTTGACTACATCCGTCACATACTCATCTTACACAGTCATTATTTTAACTAGGTAAGCATATTTGGTGGGTAAATATGGAACAGGGTAGAATTTAATACAGGTCATTCTTTCATTCTGCATTAAAAAAAAATTGGTACTACCATGTAATTGATAACTTAATTTCTTTACATAGCAGAGTTATTTTTTGAACTTCATTTAACAACAACAAAAAAAACTAAAATTCCACGATCCCTTGAGATATTTTAAGTACAAACCTGTATTTGTTTAGAGAAATAATCAGGAGTTAAACTCAAAAGATTAATCAGAGACACCTACCCCTAGACCACCCAGTTATACCTGGGCAGTGACTCTGACAGCAAGGCACTATCTGTTAATTATTAACAAAATCTACCAAGTTTCAAGTTAGAATACTGTAAGATCCACAAAGAAGGGCAGTAGCTGAAAGAGACAGTAGAGAATGTTTAAGTATATGGCTAGCTTATGTGTACTTCACTCTTCTGGTCTGTTCACTATCAAAACATTCAGCATTGCTGGAAGGTAAACAAAGTATTTCTGTGAATAGGTCTTTGTGTTTAAAATCTAGAATGATCACCTCAAGCAGTAATACTAGGTTTAAGATGCTATTTATTCTTTGGCAATAGAAAGAATAAATATGGCCAGTGAAAAGTGGTTATTACATTAAAATCTCTTATGTTCTCACCACTGAAGTGATCATTCTACTCTTAAGAGAGAGAAAAGACTGCCTACAAATTATCAGAGCTGATTACTGAAGTAACTACTTGCGCACATTGAGATTCTCCTGTCTACTCCAAATATAGAGGCTAAGGCATTCTAACAGAACATTACCACTACTTCGGCAGATTGGTAATTATTTACAGAACTCTTCAGAGAACTTTTTAAGTTTTGGTGGCATATGTTTAGGAGTTGGCAACTTTCTGTTAAGAGCCAAACAGTACATAAGTTAGGCTTTTGGAACTAAATAGTCTGTTGCAATTACTCGACTACTATTGTAGTATGTGAAAACAGACATAGAAAATACAGAAACAAATGAGTGGCTGTCTTTACTTTCTTCTTAGATACTGGAATTTGAATTTCATATAATTTTCACATGTCATCACATGTTATTCTTTTGATTCCGGCCTCAATCATTTAGGAATGCAAAGCGCATTCTTAGCTCGTGGGCTGTACAAAAATGGGTAACAGGATGGATTTGGCCCATGAACCTTTGCTAATTCCTGGTTTAGAGTATAATGGAATGAAGAAAAAGTTACAGATGGTTTAAGTGAGTAAATAAATTACACTAACCATTCTATATACAAACTGTAAATTTTACAGTCCTAAAATTAAGATATTTAACCTTATAATCAAGTTCAATATTCAGTTTGATCTCCGTTCAGAGGATATGTATTTACAAAGGGTATTTTCATGTTATTATTTGTTTTCATAAAGATTAAGTGGAAAAGAACACCTTAGCTTAACTGAATTCTAATCTATAAAGAAAACTGATCTCTCATCTATCCGCTCTGGCCACCTCTAATCCTTTATTTCAGTCTGTTAGTTATTCCTTCAGAATAGTGCAATACCTCTTAACTGGGTTTTCAGCTTTTATTAGAGTTTCCTCACATACCCATCCTCTATCCTGCAGTCAAAATAATCTTTTAAAAATTTAGGTCTGATATTACAACACCTACCAAATGTGGGATTTTCTTTTTTTGGCTGTACCAAGTGGCTTGTGGAATCTTAGTACCCAGTCCAGGGAATGAACTTATGCTCTCAGTAGTGAAGACGCAGAGTCCTAACCACTGGACCGCCAGGGAAGTCCCATGACAACTACCACTGTCTTATAGTGGCTGCAATGGTTCTCCCAGTGCTCAAGCACAGTCTCAACTTTCCTTTCCTCCCTTATTCCTTGTCTCTTCTTTTTCCTATTTCCAAACTGCAGACACACAAATTATAGAATTTTTCACATGCAGTATTATCTTAGTCTCCCCTATTTCACATAATTTTCCTAATCTGATCAAACTCAATCAGGCACAACTACTACATGCTTTGTTACATACTGACCCTAGGAAAACGGTTTTTATACCCTATGGTAGCTGTCTGGTTTACTTATTTGTTCTCCTTCACTGAATAGTAAGCTCTTGGTAGACAGGTTTGTCTTACTTAGCAATAATATTCAATACCTAGGATCTAGAAAGAAGTCTGGAATATAATAGAGACTTAAATATTTGTTGGATGAACCCATGAGCTATTATGGGTTGAACAGTGTCACCCCCACAAAAGATAAGTTAAAATTCTAACCCTCAGTATCTCAGAATGTGATCTTATTTGGAAACAGGATCACTGCAGGTGCAATTAGTTAGAAGAGCCAATCTGGAGTGGGCTGGACACAACGCAATCTGACCAGTGTCCTTATAAAAAGAGGAGACACAGAAAGATGAGGGATGAACACCATGTGATGCTTTCTACTGTTGTTCCCTTCTGCATGGTTTGACATTACCCAGCTTCTTAGATCACCAGTCAGTTCTGACGGGACTTACGCTAGTCACTCGACGGTAGATCTGTGCAGCGTTCTGGCACTCTGAGTACGGGTATTCAGACGTGGCCATCTCGAGCATGCACATTCCAAAAGCATAAACATCAACGGATTCATCATACTTCTCTTCATACATCTCAGGGGCCATGAACTCTGGGGTACCTTAAATTAAAAGAAGGATTCAGACTCAATGTGAGGAGAAACTGCAGAAGTACTCATGGTGGGGTGGGGGTTGGGGGGCACAGCAGAGGGGCTGCCCTGTGAGAGAGAAGAAAGTGGAAGGGGTAAAGATGAAAGAAAGACAGGGAGGAAGTGAGGGGAGAGAAGAGAAATCACCTTAGTCTGCTCTATCAAATCTGTTACAGACCTCTCACAGCAATTCCTTTATAAAAAGTATGAAGAGGACCAAGCATCTGTTTATTTACTGTTTCAAGTGGATTACTCTTATACAATGTCAAATAGAGCTTCACATAAAAGATAAACTGATATAACTCATATGAAAACAAATGGAAGAAAAAGGTGAGAACAGCAAAGAGTAAACTAGAGAAAATGGCATCTATCTGTAAGACAGGATGATAGGTTAAAAAGATAAAAATACTTGTCTGCCCCCTACTGTATGAGAGCTGTAAGGTTAACATTTAGAGCTAGTCTCTTGCCAATAACAGTTCATTGATCAATTTTACTTTTAACGCAGCTGTGCAGTAAAAAAAAACCTGACATTCAGTGCATTTTTAAAATAACATAGTGTAAACGTCTGTGAGGCCTCTCACCCTCCCCATAGTTCGCAAATCTACTGCAGATGTAAGAAATGTAGTAAGGGACACCCTATAGACACACACACACCATTCAGTCTGCATTTGTGTTCTCCTGCTGAATTAAGAGTGTGGAGTGTGTGATTCCACACACCAAGTTTCCAAAGAAATTAAGCCCAGATACCTCAAATTACAGAACATTTCTAAGAACAGGCTTGCATAATACAGTTTAAACAAGAAAGAAGAAAAAACTCTTGGGCCAGAGATTAACATACCAAAGACAAAGAACTGTTTCCTTTATAGGCAACAGGGAAGGCAGAAGGGAAATACAGCTTTAAATAACTCCCCAGAACACTATTTTATAAGGATGTGCAAATTACTGGTATTCTATGTTCTTTCTTATTAAAACATAGGATTCTAGCCCACTTAAAAATGAAGTTTTCTTGCTGTTGTCATCGTCACCTTTTCAGAGAACAGAGTTCATGAAAATTTAGGCTTTCAAACTGTCGCACCCTCTTCAGATGGGAAAGTTTATAAAACAATAGGCATTGAACTATATTTCCAGCTGCAATGCCCTAACACACAGCCTTGTCCTGTAAATCAATGACTGTCGAGGAGGGCAATTTGCCCCACAGGGGACATATTTGGCTGTCACGACAGGAGGGAGGTGGACAAGTGGGCATGCTACCAGCATCTACAGAGCAGAGACCAGGGATGCTGTTAAGTCATCTTACAACGCACAAGACAGTCCTTACAACAAAGAACTGTCCAAACCAAAGTGTAAATAGTACTGAGACTGAAAACTGTTTTAAGTAGATCTTTTGAAGAGTAGAAGAAAAAGTTGATAATGAACCATTATATTTTTACATTTTAAAAGTTTTAAAAGGCAGATTTTTTTGAATACAAATATATACAACAGACCTTTTCAGAAACTAAATTATATATAAACTCAATTTCTTTCATGGGGAAAGTTAACACAGTTTATCTATTATATAACTAAGTGTATGATACTAAGCATCAACAAAATGACCCAGGAAGGCGACAGTTCTCTTACATGAGGTGTTGTCAACAAAGTTCACCTTACTTCTCTTCATGTAACTTCACAAAACAACTGTCTTCAGGATGCTTCTAGAGGCATAAACACAGAGGACTCCGTATCGCTTCCTGGGTTCAAGCTATGAATTTCTGAAGGTTTATTTCACATTATAAAAGCTCTGACAGAGTCAGGTTTCTAAATAAAGTTAATGCCAGAAAGCCAGTTAGACTTTCACAAGGTATCTGTGAAACATACCTATCACACTCTTGGCAAAAGAAGCCCGCTTCAGGGTGGCCAGACCTAGGTCTCCAATCTTGACTGAGCCTGTGGGGCCAGTGATAAAGATGTTGTCACACTTAAGATCCCGGTGAATAATAGGTGGAGTTCGAGTATGAAGAAACTGAAGTCCTTTAAGAATCTGACGGCACCAGCTTCTCAAAACTTTGATCTTCATCACCTTAAACCTTTTCAGGTACCTAGAGAAGGCAAGGTACACCAAACGGTTATCGATGATACGTGTTTACTGCTTTGAAGAGTTCCATTAAATTCTAGCATATCTGAGATGGGAATATCAAATTTAGAATATTAAGATTCAGTAACCTAAGGTTAGTACTACTTTTAGCAAGGTAAAAGGGGATAGGATAACAAGTAGTTGGCAAGCAAATTCTGATAACAAAGCACAAAAAACAAATCCCTTAAAATTAGATCACTGTCAAGATGATTGACAAGAGGTAGATTACCAGAGTTTGACTTCTAGTAAATGGTGGTGCAACTGTTACTGGATGCAGATATAAACACCAGTGAATATACGTGCATGAGCGAACACACACACACACCCCTGAAGATTCTATAGACCAATCAGAATCAGGCACACACTGGAAGGGAGGACACATGAGAAAAAAGGGTAAGCACTAGTCTGTGCAGGTTGCTCAAACCTGTACACAGCCCTATTGCTTTATTGGCTGAGGAAGAAATATGAGGACAGAGTTCAAGATGATCGCAGCATCTAAAACACTGTGTTCAATACAACTTTCTACAATAAAAGTTCGTCCAATACAATATCCACTAGATAAATGAGAATATTTATATGTAAATGAATTAGATACATTAAACTAAAAAGGTCATCTCCCAGCTGCACCAGTCACATTTCAAGTGCTCAACAACCGTACATGGCAAGTGGCTATCATTCTGGAAGGTGCAGGTTATAGAACATTTCCATCACCACAGAGAGTTCTGCTGGACAGCAGAGATCTAGAAAGGTGGTCGGGGTGGGGAATCCAGAAAGGAGGCACAGAAGGGGCACTCCAAAGTTCTGCATATTCACTCTGCCCACATCTCTGGCTAACCTCTGAAATATGTGTGTATGCAGATTACAAGCAACCTAGCTGACGCTAAAGGAACAGAGTTTTCTGATGAACTGAGGCCAGATGCTATTTCATCTGAAAATACTCAGGGGAAAAAATGAAGTACACAAATGGTAAATATAAAAGAATACACTTTCCTAGCACTATCTTTATGTTACATGTGACTACCTAAAGGAAAATTTATAACACTGTGTTACCGGATCTATACAATAGGCATATATAACATAAAGCTTATAGCATGAATTATAAGTACTAGGGATAAATGGGCCTATATTTGTGCAAGTTTTCTTTATTTTACATGAAATTATATTGTATCAACCACAAACATGCTGTGAAAAGTTAAAGATTTAAATTTAAATAAAGATTTGAAGATTTAAACTGTGAAAACAATACCTAAAATGTACACATACACACAAGGAAGTTTAACTAAAAAGCTAATATAGAAACTAATATGAAATTTTAAAAACAAATTTAAAAATGAAATTCTGCTTCACTTGGGGGGGATACGAAATAATTAAAGAAAACTTACGATGAACGTTGGTTTTATGGTTTAAAAATATATAAAGAGTTAATCCTGGAGAATGAGGAAAAGGTTGTCAAAGAAGAAGAGTAAGGCATTTACTGAAATGAAGGAAATGTTCTGTATGTTAACAGTTGGTGTTTTTTAAAACAGTTTTCATCAAAACTCATCAAATGACAGAACTATGATTAATATTTTCACTGCCTGTAAATTTCATTATAAGGAAAGATCAAGCATACAAATATTAGAACTTTGATGAAATGTGTACTCAAGTGTTTATGGATGTCTGCAACTTAATCTGGAATGAAAAAAGAGGGGAATGACTAGATGAACATATTTGGTAAAGCAGACACAACAGAGGTTAACTAAATTAAAGAATCTAGGGAGAGACCATGTATGTGTTCACTATGTAATTCTTTCAACTTTTATGTATAATTGAAAATTTTTTAGATAAAATGTTGGGAAATGTCGATTATTTCTCATTACAACTGGAAGAAAAAACAAAGAATACGCACATATATAAATACATACATTTAAGCTTATATATGCATGAAGAAACAATGAAAGATAAGAATTAAAATTATGACTTTTTAAGAAAAAAACTATTGGGAAAAAGATGAGGCTAGCTTGTATCTCTTTCACATCTATAAAATGATAAAATATAACAGATTGTCTATTAACCTTCTATCTTATAACCTTATTAAACCTGTTTAGAATCACTGCAATATTCTAGGTAAACAATTACATAATCTGCAAACAGGAGCAGTTTTATTTCCTCCTTTCCCATCTTTTTGCTTTTTCCTGGTTTCCCCATTCTTGCTCTGGGCAGGCCCTCTAGAACAGTACGGAATATAAACAGTGAAAGCAGGCATTTGTGCTTTGTTCCTCATCTCCCAGGAAGCAGTGATGTATAAAGCTTTTTCACGGATGCTTTTAGCATATTGCACACTTGTCATCTAGCATAAGAATAAGTAACTGTTACTCTTTTTAGAAAGGATACACTGAGAAATTCTTAGGTTAATGGCTTTGGCCAAGTATTTTTAGCCAGCTACAGGACAATAGCAATGGCAAAAACGTTGACGATACAGTTCATGGTTCGGTTCTCCCATCTTACAGTGCAGGTTCCATCAGATGTGGTGTCCCAAAAACATGAGCTGGCTGTGTGAAAGCCATATGAACTCCTCTGGACCACTGCGCAGGTCACAATATACTTACAAGCTTTTCCCAACTTAACCAGATGTGCTAAGGATTGTTCCACTATGGTTGCAGTCCATTGGTTGATATTGTTCTGATTATAGTCTTCACCTCCCAAGACCCCATCTATACACTCTTTAACGATATTGTGGGCTTCATCAGCATTGAAGCCAACCTCTTCGCAGGGGCGATGGTACTCCTCCATGGTGGTGCCGAGTCTCCTGGGGGGCGGAGCTATGGGCCTCACGGATGCTTTTAGTCTGAGGAAATTTCCTATCACCCCTAGTCTGCTAAGAGTTTTTAGTAAGGAATAGATGCTGATTTGTCAAATACTTTTCCCACATATACTTAAATGATCATACAGTTTTTATTCTGTTAATGTGCTGAAAAACATTAATTCGTTCTATGTTAAACCAACTTTGCGATTCTGGGATAAACCCTATTTGTCACTGACATACTGAAAGTCCCATGGATAGCAAGGAGATCAAACCAGTCAATCCTAAAGGAAATCAGCCCTGAATATTCATCGGAAGGACTGATGCTGAAGCTCCAATACTTTAGCCACCTGATTCGAAGAGACGACTCACTGGTAAACACCCTGATGCTGGGAAAGATTGAGGGCAAGGCGAGAAGGGGGCGACAGAGGATGAGATGATTGGATGGCATCACTGACTCGATGGACATGAGTTTGAGCAAACTCTGGGAGACAGTGAAGGACAGGGAAGCCTGGCGTGCTGCAGTCCATGGGGTTGCACAGAGTCGACTATGACCGAGCGACTGAACAACAGTGTGATGGCTAGAATCTAATTTGCTGTTATCTTGTAAAGGAATTTGGTACCTATATTCATGGGGGATACAGCTCTATAAAATTCTTTTGCTGTGTCTTAGGATTTTGGTTTTGGGGTTATGCTGGCTTCAAAAAAGGAACTGGACACTATTCTTCCACTGTCTTTTTGAGAAAAGTCAACACACTTGGTCCCCCTCCACTAAAATAAAGTATGATAAATACATAGAACAAAAAATGTACCACCTGAAGTGTTGAAGTATTAGTCACTCAGTTGTGTCCAACTCTGTGACCCCATGGACTGTAGCCCACAAGGCTCCTCTGTCCATCGGATACTCCAGGCAAGAATACTGGAGTGGGTTGCCGTTCCCTTCTCCAGGGGATCTTCTCGATCCAGGGATTGAACCTGGGTCTCCACATTGCAGGCATTCTTTACTGAGCTATGTTCATATTATTATGCACAAATATCACCACCATCCATCTCCAGAACACATCCTGTGAAACTGAAACGCTATACCCTTTAAACAATGACACTCCACTTCCCCTCCCCCTGAGGCCATGCAACTACCACCCAACTTTCTGTCTCTATGAAATTAGCCTACTCTAAGTATCTCATGTAAATGGAATCATACAGTATTTATTTTTTTGTGACTGGCTTATATCAGGTAGCACAATGCCCTGAAAGTTCATTCCTGTTGTAGCATATACCATAAATTTCCTTCTCTTTTAAAAAGGCTGAAAAATATTCCATTGTACATATATACCACACTTTGCTTATCCATTCTTCCACCGATGAACACATGGGTTGCTTCTACTTTGGGTCCATTGTGAATACTGCTGCTATGCACACAGGTGTACAAGTATCTCTTTAAGACCCCGCTTTTAATCCTTCTGGGTATATACCAAGAAATGGAATTGTTGAACCATATGCTAATTCTATTTTTTTTTAAATTTAATTGAAGTATAGTTAACATGCTTTAATTTTTGCTACACAGCCAAGTGACTCAGTTATACATATATATATATATATATTCCTTTTCATATTCTTTTCATTTTTTTATTGAGATGTAATTAACATATATTGGCTTAAGGTATACAACATAATGATTCAAATATGTATATATTGTGAAATGATGGCCACAGTAAATATAGTTAAAATCCATCACAAAACTCCAACTTTTTTTTTTTTTTTACTGTGATGAGAACTTTTGAGATCTACTCTCTTAGCAACTTTCAAATATACAGTACAGTATTATTAACTGTAGTCACCATGCTGTACATTACATTCTTAAGACTTTTATTTATTTACAACTGGAAGTTCACACCTTTTGTCCACCCACCCATTTCATACTCCCATGCCCTTGCCCCTGCCTCAGGCAGTCACCAATCTGTTCTCTGTTATCTATGAGTTTGGCTTTTTGGTGTTGTTCATATGGTATTTGTCTTTCTCATTTCAATTAGCACAACCCCCGCAAGAGTCCATCAGTGTTTTTGGCAAGATTTTCTTCTTCATGGCTGAATAGTATTTCATTGCAGATATACATACCATATTTTCTTTATCCATTTATCCATCAGCAGACATGTAGGTTGCTTCCATGACTTAGCTAGTATAAATAATGCTGCAATGAACATGGGGGTGCATATTATCTTTTTAAGTCCGTGTTTCAGTTTCTTTGGATAAATACTCAGAAACTGAATTGTGGGGTCATACAGTAGTCCTGCTTTTAATTTTTTGAGGAGCCTCTGTACTGTTTTCCATAGTGCTTACACCAATTTAATCCCCACCGACAATGCACAACAGATTTTCCTTTTCTCCATAATACTTGTTACCTGTCTTTTTGATAACAGCCATTCTTTACAAAAAAAAGAAAAATTATTTATTTTTGGTTGCTGGGTCTTTGTTATGCACGTGGCCTTTCTTTAGCTGTGGTGAGCAGGGGTTACTCTACTTGCAGTGTACAGGCTTCTCATTGCTGTAGCTTCTCTTGTTGCAAAGCACAGGCTCTAGGGCATGCTGGCTTTACTAACTGCAGCTTGTGGGCTCAGTAGTTGCAGCCCATGGGCTCCAGAGTACTGGCTCATTAGTTGTGGCACACAGGGTTAGTCGCCAACGGCATGTGGGATTTTCCCGAACCAGGCACTGAACCAGTATTCCTCGCATTGCAAGGGCAATTCTTAACCATTGGATCCTCAGGGAAGCCCTGATAATAGCCATCCTAATAGGTTATCACATTGTGGTTTTGATTTGTGCTTCCTTAATGACAGGACATTAAACATCTTTTCAGTGTATATTGGCTATTTTTGTGAGAAATATATATTCAAATTACTTGCCCATTTTTTAATTGAATGTCAACAGGAATGTAAAATTGTGGAAAACAGTTTGGTGGTTCCTCAGAAAGGTAACGAATTACCATATGACTCATCAATTCTACTCATAGGAACATAGATCTAAAAGAAATAAAACCAGGTACTCGAACACTTGTACACAAATATTCAGAGCAGCATTATTCCCAATAGCCAAAAGGTACAAACAGCCCAAATATCTATCAGCAAGTTAAAGGATAAACAGATGGTGGTTTATCCACAAAACATTAATTAGTCATAAAAAGGAATAAAGCATAGATATACGCCACAACATGAACCTTGACAAGATGGTAAGTGAACATGGCCAAGAACAGACACATATTTTATATTCCATTTATATGAAATATCTTGATCAGATAAACCCTTAGAGACAAAATGGTAGGGAGAATGGAGAGTTGTTTGATGGGTTTTAGTTTCAGAAGATGAAGAATTTGTCTTCATGAGATTTGTTTACATAGCAACATGAATGTATCTAACAGTACTAAACTATATACACTTAAAAATGATGAAGACAGTAAATTTTATGTGCTTTTACCACAGTAAAAAAAAAAAAAAATTCCCATCCATAAATCCTAGAAATCAGCTAGTCCAACCATGCATTTTACACATGGAGAACTGAGGCCCAAAGAAGGGCCTCTCAATGCCCTAAATCACAGCTGGCCGAAATCAGAGCAGAGAGCAGACTCCAACTATGGTCCAGAGCTCTTTCTACTTTACCTCTTGCTGCCTTTGCTATGAGGCTCAGAAACTGAAACAGATGATGATGGGAAAAGAGAACATTAAACTTAAAAGAAAAATGCCTAAACACTTAATTGTGTGCAATTAAAGAAAAAATATACTGCGTGTGAAGTGGGATGGGGTGTTCTTTTAGGGTGACAAAAATGTTTAGGAACTTGACAGACGTGGTTATACAACATTGTAAATCTAATAAATACCAATTAATTGTACACCTTAAACAGGACAATTTTATGAAAATTAAAAAACTACTGTGTACTGAAAGAATGACAACCCACTAAGTATTCAAACCAGAAAAAGAATCTCAAGATGAAGATATACATAACTATTACCACACAATTTTCCTTAATTCATTCAAATATTCATCAAGTCTCACGTACAGCACCAGGAGCACAGTCTAAGAAAAGAAATAGACATGTGAATAAGAAGAATCCTGGACAACTTAGAATAAAGATGTTGCCATAAATATTAGCAAAGTTGGAAGGGAAATTAGAATTTGCAGGGGGAGATAATCTGTTGGCTTTTCACATGTCACTTTTATGTATCCATGAGCACGAACACAGAGGTGCATCCAGGAGATACAGGACTATCTACACGTGACCTATCCATATTCCTGGAAGAGGCGATAGGTCTAGCTATTTGGCTTCAATTTTGATGCTCCTGTGGAAAACTGAATTATCTGTATAAATGTGCCAATAAAATTGGCATTCAATACAAAATTTGCAAGGACATAGCAAAAACTACCCAATATGAAGTGATAAAATAAATCAGTAAAACTTGTCAATAAGCTTCAGCTTCATTTCAACCACTAGAGGGCTACCTTGTCACTTGATTTCTGATCTCTCAGCCACTCAACTTTAGAAACGCCAATCACCATGACTTAAAAGTAACTAGGCTTACTCTGCGACGTCTCAGTTCATACTTACCAACACATAATTACCAGACCACTTTATACACCAGAGGACCTTGTGAGCAGGGACTATGCCCGCTTACTCATGTTTCCTCCTTAGGATGCTGGGCAACAACAAGAACTGACAAGGCCTGAAATAAGAGATTCAAGTTCTCTTCTATTTCCTGGTCAGCTTTTCTAACAGTGATAAACTTACGTTTTAAGAGTTCCAGATGTCATCAGTTCAGTCACCAACACAATGCACTTCTTTCCCTTTACTGTGGATTCCCAGGAATCATAGAATCGAACAATATTGGGATGCTGAAGACCCTTTAACATTTCAGCCTCTTCTTTAAATCGCTGCCTCTCAGACTTTGTTAACTTCCGATCCTATAATCAAAAAGCAAAAGAGAATATGGTTTAAGATTAGGAGTTTGGGACTAATAGGTATACACTACCATATTTAAAACAGATAACCAACAAGGACCTACTGAATAACAAAGGGAACTCTGCTCAATATTCTGCAATAAACCAAAAGGGTAAAGAACATGAAAATGAATAGATACATGTATATGTATAACTGAATCACTTTGCTGTATATCTGAAACTAAAAAAAACAAAACAGAATATGGTTTAAAATAAAAAAACACACCAAGCCACACAGTCACACTTACATGCTAAACATGTACTATATTATAATGACCAACAATGTTAAAGTAAAACATCCTAACACTGAAGTTACTAATAATAACTTCATTAGCCTGTTACAAGGAGTGTGAGAACAGGCTAAAGTGTATTTAAGAAAACTCTCGATGATAAAGTCATGCTTGAACCTAGATGCCCATCAGCAGACGAATGGATAAGGAAGCTGTGATACATATACACCATGGAATATTACTCAGCCGTTAAAAAGAATTCATTTGAATCAGTTCTAATGAGATGGATGAAACTGGAGCCCATTATACAGAGTGAAGTAAGCCAGAAAGATAAAGACCATTACAGTATACTAACACATATATATGGAATTTAGAAAGATGGTAACGATAACCCTATATGCAAAACAGAAAAAGAGACACAGATGTACAGAACAGACTTTTGGACCCTGTGGGAGAAGGCAAGGGTGGGATGTTTCGAAAGAACAGCATGTATATTATCTATAGTGAAACAGATCACCAGCCCAGGTGAGATGCATGAGACAAGTGCCCAGGCCTGGTGCACTGGGAAGACCCAGAGGAATTGGGTGGAGAGGGAGGTGGGAGGGGGGATCTGGATGGGGAATACATGTAACTCCACGGCTGATTCATGTCAATGTATGACAAAACCCACTGAAATGCTGTGAAGTAATTAGCCTCCAACTAATAAAAATAAATGAAAAAAAAAAATAAAGTCATGCTTGAGATTTTGGTATCTTTACAGTTATTGTGTGCTTCAGATACACAGTTCTTAGGTACAGTTTATTTACCAATTCTAATGTAAGCCACCTATTGACAGAGACACGCAATTTAATAATGAAACAAGATTGTATTTTAGAAGTGGTAAGATCTAAATTTCTCCCTTCTCCCCACCAAGAAAATTGAGGGATGACTGTGTGTGCCTTCACCTCATAGGACTGTTTTAAGAAGTAATCTACTAGGCATGTTTTTATCACATATTTAAAGTGCCTGGCACTTTACAGGTTAATTCACTTCGTATCTGAGATTAATGGAGAAAAGCACTTAATCTGATGTTCTTCCCTTGACAAAGCACCATACACAGAAACTCTGCACTGCCCTGTAAATTAAAGGTGAAACTGTCAACTACCAAAGCACGTAATACATATTTTAGCAAACTATTCCAGGCATACAATAACATAATGTGTCTAAACACTAAAGACTTAATGTAAACTCTCCCGTGTAACCAGATGGCCTTTCCCATTGCTACCCTTGAATAACTCTTCATAAAGAATCTGCCTGCAATGCAGGAGACCCCAGTTTGATTCCTGGGTCAGGAAGATCCATTGGAAAAGGAATAGGCTACCCACTCCAGTATTCTTGGGCTTCTTATGTGGCTCAGATGGTAAAGACTCTGACTGCAATGTTAGGAGACCTGGGTTCGATCCACCAGTACTAGTACCGATTTTCACCACTACTACTACTACTATTACTACTACCCTGATTAGATATATCATCCCTATCTCAAAATACCACACTAGGCATTCTTTGAAATTATGCTAGTCATTAGATCTTCTAGGAGATCTTATAAATATATACATTAATAATGCATACTATATATCACAAATTCAAACGGTTTAATAACTATTTTAATACAATTTGTTTTCAATATACTATGTATTTTATTATATGAACTTAAAACATTATTCCAGCTTTCATTATTTAGCCTTCTGGGGCATAAAAAACTTTGTAAGTACATCTCTTAGGCTAAGCTAGCAGTAGAATTGCTGGATCACAGGGAACAGGTATTAACAGACTGCTTTTCAAAGGGGCCATGCCTGGCACTGCAGTGCTATCACTAGTCTTGGCCATGACTCCATGTAAAAGTGAAAAGTGACACTGTTAGTTGCTCAGTCTTGCTTGACTCTGTGACTTCCAAGTAATTCAAGTTCAAATCCTTATCTCATACTTGCATGAACACAGCTCCCAAACCATGAACTCTGAGGGTAAACTTTTTTTCACATGACTTGGGAAAAACTGTCATTTCCCTGACTCAGAAACTGAAATTTTCTCTAGTCTGTCTTTATATTAAAGGTGTTGCTCCTCTTTAGGGCTTCCCAGGTGGCGCTAGCGGTAAAGAACCCACCTGTCAATGCAGGAGATGAAAGAGACGTGGGTTTGATCCCTGGGTCAGGAAGATCCCCTGGAGGAGGGCATGGCAACCCACTCCAGTATTCATGCCTGGAGAATCCCAAGGACAGAAGAGCCTGGTGGGCTACAGTCCATGGGGTCACAAAGTCGGACACAACTGAAGCAACTGAGCACATATGCACCTCTTTAAGCAATAAGTTTACTGGATCTCAGTTCCAATACCTGCTTGGGCTTGAGGTTTCATCTGCTCTTGGGGAGATGATAAAACCATCAGTTCAGTTCAATCATTCAGTCATGTCCAACTCTTTCTGATTCCATGGACTGCAGCATGCCAGGCCTCCAGTGATGGGACCAGATGCCATGATCTTAGTTTTCTGAATGTTGAGCTTTAAGCCAACTTTTTCACTCTCCTATTTCACTTTCATCAAGAGGCTCTTAGGTCTTCTTCACTTTCTGCCATAGGGTGGTGTCATCTGCATAGCTGGGTTATTTGTATTTCTCCCGGCAATCTTGACTCCAGCTTGTGCTTCATCCAGCCCAGCGTTTCTTATGATGTACTCTGCATATAAGTTGAATAAGGAGGGTGACAATATACAGCCTTGACGTACTCCTTTTCCTATTTGGAACCATGTCCAGTTCTAACTATTGCTTTCTGACCTGCACACAGATCTCTCACGAGGCAGGTCAGGTGATCTGGTATTCCCAGCTCTTTCAGAATTTTTCACAGTTTATTGTGATCCACACAGTCAAAGGCCTTGGCATAGTCAATAAAGCAGAAATAGGTGTTTTTCTGGAATTCTCTTGCTTTTTCAATGATCCAACAGATGCTGGCAATTTGATCTCTGGTTTCTCTGCCTTTTCTAAAACCAGCTTGAACATCTGGAAGTTCACGGTTCACGTACTGTTGCAGCCTGGCTTGGAGAATTTTGAGCATTGCTTTGCTAGTGTGTGAGATGAGTACAATTGTGTGGTAATTTGAGCATTCTTTGGCATTACCTTTCTTTGGGATTAGAATGAAAACTGACCTTTTCCAGTCCGGTGGCCACTGCTGAGTTTTCCAAATTTGCTGGCATATTGAGTGCAGCACTTTCACAGCATCATCTTTCAGGATTTGAAATAACTCAACTGGAATGCCATCACCTCCACTAGTTTTGTTTGTAGTGATGCTTCCTAAGGCCCCCTTGACTTCACATTCCAGGATGTCTGGCTCTAGGTGAATGATCACACCATCATGATTACCTAGGTCGTGAAGATCTTTTTTGTATAGTTCTGTGTGTTCTTGCCACCTCTTCTTAATATCTTCTGCTTCTGTTAGGTCCATCTCATTTCTGTCCTTTATTGAGCCCATCTTTGCATGAAATGTTCCCTTGGTATCTCCAATTTTCTTGAAGAGATCTCTAGTCTTTCCCCTTCTACTGTTTTCCTCTATTTCTTTGCACTGATCACTGAGGAAGGCTTTTTTATCTCTCTTTGCTATTCTTTGGAACTCTGCACTCAAACGGGTATATCTTTCCTTTTAAACCATGCCTCTTAGTCAACAAGACTGGCAACTGTCCCAGAAAAAAACCCAGTGTCAATTCACACTTTTCCTACTCTGGTTTCTAGTTTCGTCTTAGTTTTTAAACCTTGGAAGTCGTCCTGACATCCCCACAAGCTCGACTATGCATTTAAAAGGATAGGATTTTATAGTTTTCCTCATTAAAGTGTTCAAAGTATCTGGTATTATACAGTGGGAAGAATTTTCAGCTTGTTTCGTTTTCCATTTACTGACAATAGGGTTTCTTAATGTATGTTTTATTAAAAAAATATTGTTTACTATATATTCTTACACGTCCTCATTTCAAGAAACTATTCAAAAAAGAAAACCTAGATCCCCTGTTGACATTACTGCTGAATTATGAAAACTTAAAGAGATTATAATGTTAATCTACTCAGAACAATCAGAAGACTAATCACACATGAGCCAAATGAATTATAATATTCTATCTACCATTAAGTGATATTTAATTTTTATACTTTCCCTTTTTTTTTTTCATATATAGTCTACTACCTGTCTTGATGTCTTGATAAGTACTCTTATTTTCTGAGGCATGCAACATTCACTTCAGTTTTAGCAATTATTCCATCTCTTCATAAATGGTTAATTAAATTTTAAATACTTGAGTACCCTGTGTCAGGCAATAGGATACGACAAACATAAGAGACAAGTTTCCTGCTAGTCTAAACCTTCCAATGTAAGAGGAAAAGGCATTAACTTTATTAGATGTTAAAAAGAGAAAATATTTTTATTCTTATTTGTATTTATAAAACAAGTACTTGAAGAGCAAGTACTCGATATAAGACCCAATTCTGTGTGCACAAGCTAGTGTTGGCCCCCACCATCAGCAGGCTACCCTAAGGACAGAGATCATGGGCATGAAGCTCTAGTTTTATAATACTTGAAATGCTTAAGGCCGAAAGTGTCTGCAGAAAGTTCTAAAGGCAAACTTGGAAATGCAGATATAGACTGGAGGCAAGGAGGCTCATAACTTTAATAACAGTGAGCTAGGAGATTTAAACTTATTTACTTAAATTTGTTTATTCAAGCAG